CAGAAGGCTTCCTCAAATGTCTGGTGGTTCTTGATCTATTTAAGTGAGGTACTAAAAAGCTGATCAGAAGTGGTGAGACCCTGGGGTAATCTAGTTGGGTTGTCTCCTTGTGGAACTCACAATGTCAGTGTCTTTAGGTCTTTCCTCTTGGGAAGGTCACATTTCCCTGAGAAAGATCTTCTAGGATACTGTGTGGAAGATATACACCTGCCTGGTAGCATTCCATTTATCCAGTAGGGTGTGGGGTAAGTAGGGGCTCACCATTCCCTAAACAATTTACTTAATCCCCCTGCATTCAGCATGAATCTGCTTTTAACATTGCCCAATGTATTCTATTACAGAGATCTTTTTTCTACCCAAATGAGGAAACAATCTTTCAGTTTACTATCAGGGTAGGGAAGGGTCAGATGATCAGCTTTGTGGAGTAAAAGGACATAATGGCTTTTAATTTTTTTTTTTTTTAATTATTGGGAAATTCCTATGTTCACAGGGGAAAAAAAAAAAAAAAGAATGGCATAATACCCGCAACCCTCATGGTCCCATCACCAGCCTCTGAAGCCATTATTGAATTGCCAGTCCTACCCTATATATCTCTCCCTCTTCCACTTTCCTTATCCTGTACTTTGAAACAAATTTCAAACATCATTCCATCTGTAATCACTCAGTACATACCTTTGAAAGATAAGGACTTTTTTATAAACATAACCTTAACATGATTATTCAACCTAAAAAATTAATACTTCTTTAATATCAAACCTCCATTCAATGTTCAAGTTTCCAGTTGTCTCCTAAATGTCATGTGTTTTATTTATTTTACATTTGTTACAACCAGAACAGAGCTAATAAGCCACATATTCTGGTGGTGGTCAATAGTCTTTTAAGTCTCTAAGTTTCCTTCATGTGTGATTTTATTCACTGGAATTTATTCAATGAGGAAATAGAATGGTCTTGCAGAGTTTCTTACAGTCTGAATTTTGCCAGTTGCATCTCTGAGGTGTAATTTAACATTTTTCCCTGTCTTCTGTATTTCCTGTAGGTTGGTAGTTGGATCTAGAGGTTTAATTGCTTCTATTGGTCTATCTTCAAGTTCATTAATTCTTTCCTGTCTGCTCCATTTTGCTATTGAGCCCATCTAGTAAATTTTAATTTCCGGTTTTTTTTTTTTTTAGATTTTATTTATTTGACAGAGAGAGAGAGAGATCACAAGCAGGCAGTGAGGTAGGCAGAGAGAGAGGCAGGAGGAGCAGGCTCCCTACTGAGCAGAGAGCCTGATGTGGGGCTTGATCCCAGGATCCTGAAACCATGACCTGAGCCGAAGGCAGTGGCCTAACCTACTGAGCCAACCAGGTGCCCCTCTGTTGTATTTTTTAGTTCTAAAATTTCCATTTGGTTCTTTGCTTCTTCTTTTTCTTTGCAGAGACTTCACTGACCCTAGGCTATCATCAGAATGAAGTCTCTTAAAATGTGAACATGGGCACCTGGGTGGCTCAGTTATTAAGCATCTGCCTTCTCCCTCTCCCACTCCCCCTGCTTGTGTTCCCTCTCTCGCTGTGTCTCTGTCAAATAAATAAAATATTTTTAAATAAATAAATAAAATGTGAACACATGGTAGAGTGGCAGAGTGGGGTAGTCAGCCTCTAAGGGGGCTCCCAATGATCCTGTTTCCTAGTCTCCACTTTCTTGTGTAGCCCACATTCTACCAGGGTCAGTCTGGGTAACTTACAGCATATGGTAGATGTGATAGTATATCACCTTCTGAGATTATCTTAAAAAGGACTGTGGCTTCTATCTTGACCAGTCTCTCCCATGTACGCACTCTTAGATCACTTGCTCTAGGAGAAGCTAGCTTGTCCTATGGAAGGCCTGTCTGATGGAGAACTGAAGTCTCCAGCCAACAGCCTCAGACAAACTGAAACCTACTACCTACCATGTAAGTGAATTTTGAAGCACATCCTCCCCCAGTTAAGCTTTCAGATGAAATGCGGTTCTAGGAAAAGTTTGAATGCACTCTCTTGAGACTTTGAGCCAGAACCAGCGGCCAAGTGGTCTCCAGATCCTTGACCCACAAAAAAATGTGTGACCATAAAAAACTAATAGGGTTTTTTTTTTTAAGCTGTTAAGTTTTAGGGAAATTTGTTCTATAACAGATAATACATCAGGGTTTGTACCTGAGTCTCTGCTCTACCACTTAATAAAAGATGCAAGACAGGGGCGCCTGGGTGGCTCAGTGGGTTAAGCCGCTGCCTTCGGCTCAGGTCATGATCTCAGGGTCCTGGGATCAAGTCCCGCATTGGGCTCTCTGCTTGGCAGGGAGCCTGCTTCCCTCCCTCTCTCTGCCTGCCTCTCTGCCTACTTGTGATCTCTGTCAAATAAATAAATAAAATCTTAAAAAAAAAAAAAGATGCAAGACATATTGAGTAACATTGTGAGCTCCACTTTCTTTCATTGGAGACTGATAACCATTTCTGCCACACTTTACCTTTTCAAGGTTATGACTTGCACATCAGAAAATATATGGAGACATTATACAGCTAGTAATTTACTAAACCCAAGCTCCCTATTTTGCAGATAAAAACTGAAAGCCCAAAGGAATGTAAAGAATTGACAGGCGAAGCATTAAGGAACAGAGAAATTATAGGACTTGTCCTGGCTTCAACTATTTAAAAAAAGAGCCAGGACCAGACCCCACAGCCCAGAACTTCACATCTGGCTATATTTGCTACTATGCCTAAAATATCATGTTCTGTTGTCATTAAACATGGTCACCCCATGTTTCAGGAAGATAGGCGACAGGTAAATTGTGGATTGCAGGGTAGATAGGAGAATGGCTTCTCTTCCATGGTACATGACAAGCTTTAGGTAAATGCAAGAGCCATTTGTTCCAGCTCAGCTTTTACATCATAAAGCTGACATTGGGCCAGTTACTCCCTTCTTTCTGTTGCTCTGCCAGTCATCCCAACTCCGAGTCCAAGCTCATAGGCAGCCAGCCAGAAGGTGACTAACACCAACTCTTTGCACCTAAGCCTTGTAGGATAGGCAGATAGTTCCTTTTTTAAAAACCTCGCTAGACAAGTTGGTATCAGTATCCTGCAACTACAAATGCTCCTTTGTTATGCAATTTTTGTAAAAATAGTTGACTGGGAGGGGAGAAAAAGGCTAATAGTATTTTGAGTCAACAAGGTCAGGCCATTTGGGCAATGATTAACCTCAACAGGGTTTCAAACTTTTTTTCTCAAGTTATTTTTGTAAAACACCTCACCTTCTGCCTTCCCCTCAACTTCAGTCTTCTGATGGGGGTGGGGGGAGAAGGTGGCATTTAAAATGTTGAAAAAGAATCGGATCTTGATCAGATAAAAGAAAAAAAAATGTATACATGGACTCAAACTGGAAGGGAAAAACACAAACGTAAATACGGTTGTGTTGATGGGACAGCTGGCTGGCTCAGTCTGTAGGGCATGCGACTCTTGATCTCGGGGTCATGAGTTCAAACTTCACCTTGGGCATTGAGATTACTTAATCAATCCAGAACAGTTGTGTGAAATGGTAGAATTATTTTTTTCCATTCTTAGTTTTGTTTTTAATTTTTTAAAAAAATTTGTATAGGATCGGGGCGCCTGGGTGGCTCAGTGGGTTAAAGCCTCTGCCTTCAGCTCAGGTCATGATCTCAGGGTCCTGGAATCGAGCCCCGCATTTAATTTAATTTTCCATTTAAATAACTAGTTACAATTTAGTTTCTCATCCATGTTTATCAGTTAAGATTCTTCAGTTGCAAGCAACAGAAACTGTTTCTGGCTACTTAAACAAAATTTGTCATAAGAGTATAGAAGAGCAGGGGCTTTTTGGGATTGAGTCCTACATCAGGCTCTGCAATCAGCAGAGTCTGCTTGTCCCTTTCCCTCTGCTCCTCCCATTCCACTCATGTGCATGTGCTCTCTAAAAAATGGATAAATAAAATTAAAAGAAAAAAGAAAGAGTATGGGGGAGCAGACAGGACCAAAGGGAAGCCTTGGAGAAGCAGAAGACAGGTAACCACTGAGAAGGTCTACTCCACAGAGCATAAGGTCCTGCTGCTGGAGTAAATGAACACTTGCCAACAATTTGTTTCTTCTTGCTCAGTCCCTGGGTCTAAGAATCAAAGTCCTTGTCGAGCGGGATTCTGCTTGGTTGGAGATGTACCAAGCTAGGATGTCCTGAACTGATGAATGAAAGAGGGAGTTGAAAAGGAGTCTCCCGGGTCCTCTCTGTTTCCATGTGGAAGAGCAAAACACCGAGGATCCCATTCCACCAGCACAGCTCTGGGCAGCGAGCATCATCACCCCAGAAGTTGATGAGGATACCTATCAGAAGATCTCATGTCCACTAAATCCTAGCTATGTTCTCACCATTCCATGAGAGGTTTGTGAGAACATGAATGTTCTTCCAGCAGTATTTTAGATGGATTCCCACCCAGCTTTCCTCCTCACTTGTCTAGGACCAGCAAAGACCTGCTTTGGGCATGACATTTTGGTGTGATTCTTCAGCACCACAAAAGAACTTAATTTGTATTATTTGAGTGTAGAGGTGGATCAAGTCCAATCCTCCTTAAAGTATATCCCACATCCATCACAACACTGCCTAGGATCATTTTCCTACGTCCTTCCCATCCTCTTCTCACTCTCCTTTTGACTATCATCCACACAGCTTTCCCTGAAGAATATTCTGTATTAGCAGGCATTACATGACAATGGAAAGGGGAAAGAAATATAAGAATGGTGGGTTAAACCAAGCCTACAAAGCCAAAATTTGTCTAGCTAGCTGTAGACCATTCTACTGTTTTCAGGGTCTTCCTTTAAGATCCTTAAAAGTAACCACTAAACCACACATTCTTAGGAAAAGAATTCCATGTGACTTTAAGACATAAGCAGTTTAGGAATTAGGAATTTAGGAATTTTATTAACTTTTAGTTTAAAACGCTTTACACCTGTGCCATGCCAAGACACAGAAGGTTCTTAAGTTCCCTGTTAGGGTTTGCTCCTTGGTTTAGGAATCAGGGGGCCTTGGTATTTTTTTGTTAAGCCATTTAAGAATTCATGATCTTGATCCAGGGCTGGTAACATTGCGCCACTTTCTTCTCCCTTCAGGGAAGAAGAGACACTATTATACCTGCACACTCTCAGCATACTACTGCTGCATTGTTGACTCCTTAATATCTTCCATGGATTAGCAATTTTCTCCAAATCGGCCTCAAGTCTCCCTCAGAGGAGAGGAGCACAGAAATATTTTTCAGGCTGGATCTTCGATGGGAGTTTGTGTGTGTGGTAAAACATACATACCAGAAACTTGCCATCTCTAACCATTGGCTCAGTGGCATTAAGTATGTCCACATTGCTGGGCAATTACCACCATCCATCTGCAGAAGCTCTGTACCTATTAAATACTAGCTCCTCCTTTCCTTCTCTCCACCAGCTCCTGGCACCCCCCATTCTGCTGGAGGTCTGTCTGAGTTGGACCCTTTTAGATCTCTGACGTAAGTGAAAGCACTCAGTATTTGTATTCTTGTCTGGCTTATTTGTAAGTGCAGTTTTGATGCACAGAACAGTGCCCTTATGGCGATTAAGGACACAGCATATGGAGCTGTTACTTCCAAATCAGAAGTCTTTAGCCTGGGGCCATTGGAGGAGTCCTAGAGATCCGAACCTCCTTTAAGAGATGGGTCTCCTAATTCCAAGGTGTTCGTAGGAGCCTTAACCCAGAAGCTGCTGACTGCTGTTCTGGGTCCTCTCTGCTTAGAGAGCATCCTCTTGGTCCCAAACCAGTATAGGCAACTCACCACCAATATGGTCCTATTTATTGTATGGCTCCAGATTTTGCTGATTCAAGTTTGATGCCTAAAGGGGTGCTACTTTATAAAACCCCAGCCTCCTGGCCACTTAACTTTGAGCTTACCGTCTTCCTATGAAAAATATCTAATACAAATGTAACTCAAAACCACAATGAGATACCACTTCACACCCATGAGGATGGCTATGATTAAGAAAAGGAAAAAAAAAAGGCAAGTACTGGCAAGGACATTGAAAACTGGGAACCCTCCCACATTGCTGATGAGAATGTAAAATGGTGCATTCACTATGGGTAACGGTATTATGGTTCCTCAAAAATTAAAAATAGAACTATCCTGCGACCCAACAATTCCATTTCTGTATATACACCCAAAAGAACTGAAAGCAGGAATTCGAACAGATATTTGTACAACCATTTTCATAGCAACATTATTCACAATGGTCAAAAGAACAGTCCAAGTGAGTATCTATGATGAATGGATAAACAATGTCATATCCACACAACGGCATATTACTCAACCTAAAATATAAAGGAAATTCTGGCACACATTGCAACATGGATGAACCTTGTTGGCATTGTGCTGAGTAAAATGAACTAATCCCAAAAGAACAAATACCATAGGATTCTACTTATGTGAGGTACTTTGAGTAGTCAAATTCACAGAGACGGAAGTTAAATGGTGGTTGCCAGGGGGTAGGGGTGGGGAGAGGAAGGATGGCGTTAGTATTTAATGGGGACAGAGCTTCATTTTGCAAAGATGGGAAAATTTAGAGATGATGCTGGTGAGGTCTACCTAGCAATGGGAAAGTACTCAAGGACCCTGAACTGTGCACTCAAAAGTGGTTAAAATGGTAAACTTTTATGTTGCACGTTAAAATAAAAAGTGGTTTAAAGAAGTGTCTAATGCTCTCTGGTCATCATTCCCTGCTTCCGCAGAGAAGTTAGAAGCCCCGTGTACAGTTTATCCCAAACCCCATCTTCTGGGAAGAGAAAAAATGTGTTAAGTAGCAAAATGCTTTTCAAAAGCTGGGCCTGCTTTAGTTGCATTTCTCAACAAAGGAAAAAAAAAAACAAAACACCTCAGCATCATAACCCCTTCCTTCCTCCATCCATCTGTCCGTCCCCATCAAAAGAAGCAAGTAGGGGGGTAAAAAAGAGAATAAAATCCTAAATCAGAGACAATAGGACAAGCTTTTATGGGCCTAGAATGGTCTTCCAGGAGCCAGGAAGCTGCCATTCAAAGGCAGCCCATTCAACACGGATGGGAGAGAAACTCAGAGCTAAGTCACAAGAGAAGCCGTGTTTGGTCGCCCACCTCAAAGAGCAGAACGGGCACCTGCCCGGTTATCACCCGCGAAGGTGGCGTGCCAGGAGGCATGGGCACTCCTTTCCCCTCTGAAGTCGCTTACCTCAGAAAAATGGTTCTCGATAATGTTCGAAGCCATCAGGGCAACCTGCGGGTTCTCGTGGAGTTGCAAAGCCTCAATTTTATCAATGCCACCCATTTCTTCAATCAGAAGACACAGGTTTTCCTTCTCTGAAAGCTGCTCTGCTGCCTGTGGGCATATAAAGAAAAGCAAAACTCTGGGCAGAATCCCTTCAGAGGGGAGCTTCACCACTGTAGAGTCAGACCAAAGGCTCCTGTTCCAGAATGGCAGCCACAGTTTTACTGTGCCCTCATGAAGATGGCAAGATTGGGACACCTGGCTGACTCAGTTAAGTATCCAACTCTGGATTTTGGCCCAGGTCATGATCTCAGGGTTGTGAGATCGAGCCCCATGTTGGACTCCATGCTGGGCATGGAGCCTACTTAAGATTCTCTCTCTCCCTCTTCCCCTGTTCTCTCTCCCCCTCTCTTAAAAACAAACAAACAAAAAAACCTATTTCAGGATCTTTCTCCCCTTTTAGATATTTATAGTATATGTATTTAGGTTTATATTAATTGCACAAAATACAATTTTTGCCAAGTATGCTGCCCTCTGTAAATACATTGCTATTACTGTTTAATAGATATATCCCTTCTAATTAATGGTAATTGTTTAAAATACAGTTTGAAAAGATGTTCAAGTAATGCTATTTAAATGCAGGTGTCTGGCCCTGCCCTCACTGGAAAGCCTTGAGAGTAAGACTGAGGGGATGCTTAGTAACACCACGGCAAATAACCAAGTCCCTAGAAACAATATGAGTGGATTTAATCCAATGCAGATCATTGGACTTATCATCTGGTACTATTCCTTCACTCAAACATTTGTACATGTGCCCTGGGCAAGGCCTACAAAACTAGAGATCAAGATGTGATTTAGAAAAGGCCTTTTCATAACTCACATTCTTGGGGCAGAAAGGTAAGTAATTGTTGCAGTACAGAAAGCAGAATATAGTAGATGATTGGTGGTTTAAGTTACAGAAGATGTGCACAAAAGGCTTGGAAAGGAACATACATTCTTTTAAAAAAAAAAAGATTTATTTGACACAGAGAGAGAGGGATCACAAGTAGGCAGAGAGAGAGGGGGGAAGCAGGCTCCCTGCTGAGCAGAGAGCCCGATGTGGGGCTCAATCCCAGGACCCTGGGATCATGACCTGAGCTGAAGGCAGAGGCTTAACCCACTGAACCATCCAGGCGCAGGCACCCAAATGAAAGTAACACACATTCTTGGATGAACAGGGCTGTGCCAGGGTCAACCATAGGATAATCATGGCATTCCCCAAACACGAGGGACAAGGACAAAGACATGAAGGAATATACGTCGCATATTAGAAAAGGCAGTAATTCAGCTCAACAGCCTATTTGGCGGAATTGAAGAGAAATAAAGAAAAGGCTTTGGTGGCAACTCTTGAAGGACTCTGCTCTCTATTTCATGAGGAAGAAAACCTCTTGTGGTTCAAATTAAACATGATTTAGGCCACACTGTCTACCTGATCAGAGTTTGCACTGTGTGTCTAAATCTTGACATACTCTAGTCCTGGCCGCAGGTCCAAAATGAGGTTTTTGGCTCTGAAAAAAAAAAAATGAGGCAGAACAAATGTGCTAGGTTAGCCTTAGAAAGAATGCTAGAGAGTGTGGGATGACCAAGGGCAGTCAGAGCTCTGGAGAAGGAGTCCGGATGTTGACACCACAGCAAATGGCCCCAAAGTCACTTCAAAGAACTTCATCTACACTCTGCTGCACATTTGAGACTCTCTCCTACCTCACCCTCCTCACCTGCTATTTCAGTGCCTCTTGCTGGTCTACCAGATGTGGTTTTCCCAGACTCTCCCAAGGAAAAAAAATCCCAAACATTTAGTTCAAATGAAACAGATGAAGTTAAATTTCTATAGCTCACAAGTGTGCTTTCACAAACGTGTTATGTCGTTATGTCCAACCTTGTCTGCGGGTGGGCCAAGTGTCTCCTCTTCATCTGTGTGATTTGCTCAGTCTTAGTGTCTAATTGGGTGCAGTTTCAGATCTGTTCTTGACTCAGGTCAGTTCTTTCCAAGACAGTTACATGAAAAGGATGCTTAAAGTGAGCTTTTAAAAGGAGTCCCCTGGTGTTACTTTGAAATTTTTCCAACAGCTTAGTTGCATATAAAAGGACCTTAAACAGATGAATATAGCCAGCCTTCAAGATGGCCTCAGATGCTCCCTGCCTCCTGGTACTGAACACCCTTGTATAGTTTCCTCTGATGTTGAGTGGGGCTGATCTGTGTAACCAATTGGATGTTGTTGAAATGACTTCCAAGGCTGGATCATAAAAGCCACTGGGGCATCCACCTTGCTTTCCTAGATCACTTGTTCCAGAGGAAGCCAGCCGCCATGATGTGAAGACACACAAAGGGCCCTACGAAGAGGTCCATGTAGGGACAATGACTTTCCAGGCATGTGAGGGAGCCATGCTGGAAGATGACCCTCCAGCCTCCATCAAGTCTTCAGATGAGATTAGAGCCCCAGATGACACCCCGAACCTCATAAGAGACACTGAGCCAGAACCATCCAGCTGAGCTGCCCCCAGATTCCTAACCCCAGAAACTAGGTGAGATAATAAATAATTGTTCTAGACCACCAGGGAGTAATCAATTATGCAGCAATATAGAACTGACACACGGTTCATGAACATAGGCTTTCTGTCGAAAAAAAAAAAACTCTTCTAGATCTCTAATCCAAGTCTTTCTAGTCAGTTTCAAGATCTATTCCTGCTAACTTTTAGCTGCTCTTTTGAGCGTATCCTGTTTTCGCCTTCTAAAAGAGCCAGCCATGTGGTTCATGAACTGCTTTCTCCTGCTTTGAAGCTTTGATTGGTTTCTCCATTTCACTTGGAGTAAGCTGGAGTTCTCCTACACCTTATGTTATCTCGATGCTCGGAGCCTAACCTACCACCTTCTATCCATTCCCTCCCACTCATCCTTGAGTGCTCTTCCCCAGATATCCACAAGACTCTCTCACTTCACTCTTCTCAGGGCTTAGCATAAATGCTCTTCCTAAGACAAGTTTCTCCTGCTGACTGCGTATGAGGGATCACCATTCTCTCCCCACTCTGAGCCATCAGTGATGGCCCTTTTAGCCGCTAAACTCTCAACTCTTGTGTCTGGTTCCCTCTCCATTAATACATAGGCTCAATCAGAGCGAGGATGTTGTTCTGTTGTATGCTGAGCATCTGAAACGATGCTGGGCACACAGTCACTCCTTTGAAAAATGAAGAGGGACCTTCTTTGAAAAATCTCTTGTTTAGGTTACCCATAGGATATTTGGCTAGGAGGGGGCATGAAGGAGTGGAAAGAGAATCCACATGTGAGTTTTAAGAACCAAATTAAATGCCTTAAATTTGGAGACTGCTATATAAAAACCAACCTGCTTAGAACAGCTCACCTGGAGGATAAAAGAGAGAACATCAAGGATGATTTTAACAATTTTGGTGTCTTGGATGGTAAGCAGATTCACCAGTGGTTCCAGGACGCCAGAGTGGACAAGCTGGATCAACTGGTCTATGGTGCCTCCAGTTGTGAAGTTAGCCACGGTCCAAACAGCCTCTTTCTGGACTTTAAATTCTCCCTGCCGAAAGAGAACATTTAGAGTCTTTATAGGTCCCAAGGAACTTAAATACAGTGATGCTAACTTAGTTCAATTTTTAGGTAGGCTAGGGACAGCCAGGACTGTCCATGCAATTTACATGGACCACCTCAGCAACCTACCTCTAGTTCCTGAGCAGAAGACAGCATCTTCGAGAAGCCCAGAAGCAGGCAGGCAGACTCCCATGGGGCCTTAGAGGAAGGTTCTAAGTTTGAAGTAGACTCACTTCCTTAGGTCGGGTTATGGGAAAAATAGGCATTATGCTTGGAATTTTAGGTTCTAGTGACCTAGGTCAACATTTCTGGTCTTTCTGTCACGGGAAAACCATGGATGGGAAGTTCCCTAGTTACAAAGCTGAGTACACAGAAGCGATCTCAGGGACTGAGCCAGCCCAGAGGTGACAGAGGAAGGCCACTGAAACATCACTCAATGTATCCCTTGCATTTATAAGAAACACTTTGCCCAGACATATGGGAGTCATTTATTGTAGAACCTTCTATCCCCAGGCAGAAGGAGTTATTCCCATTTTATGGCTGGGGAAAAACTGTGACTTTGGCTTAAAAACACAAAAACAAAAACATATCGATAACCAAAACACCATACGGCTCCAAGCCAGTTGTGGTTCAAAAGGCAGTTTGAAATAAGAGTCCTCCTTGACATGTGACTGGATCTTCTGATTAGAATATGTACAGACTCATGGACGCACACAGGATAGGAAGCATCTGAGGCATTGGGTCGAACCCCTGATTTGAGTGGGACAGCTGGGAACCCAGCATCCAACCTGAGTGCAGGAGTCCCACCAGCAGCTTCTCCTTCCCACCCTAGTCCACTGGCCTCCCTGCTCCCTATAAGACTGAACCACCCCTGGCTGGTGTCACGTGTAGATGATTTGAACAGAGCTCATCCATTCAGAGGTGACCCAAAGAAATGCTGACACATAGAAGTTGTCCCAGGGAAGGGGAGTGGGAATCAGGAGGAAGAAGGAAGCCTTACTGTATTTGCACATTGTATCTGGATTTTCAGTGTCTATCCCCACTCTAATCGATGTGATTTTTTTACGCTGAAAAGGCCACTTTCTTCAGTGTATCATATCACCATAACCTGATAGGTTTTTCCTCCTAAAACAAAACACCCCCCACCCTTTGGCAGGTAGAATGGATGGTACATTCTTTTAACACTAAAGATAAGCCAACTGTTTACCAGCTCGAGATTTTCCTGACTGTTAGAGCTGTGGGGATCACCTTCCATGGAACAATGCCTATTTAGTCTCCTAAATCTTCTATGGGTTATCCCAAACGGAGTGCCTCTTCCTTTTTCCAGGGCAAGTTAGGAAACTAAGGTTTCCTCGCTCTGTTGGGATCTCAGTTGATTTGCTTCTTAGCCTGTCTCTGAATTCCTGAAGGAGTTCAACGCGCGGCTGATTGGAAAATAGCCTTTTGTTGTGGACACGGAGGGCATCACTCACATTTTTTAGTAGAGCCACCAAGGGAGGCAGCATGCCGCAAGCAATCAGCCGCTGGATGTGCTGGTAAGGCCCTGCAGCCACGTTGCTCAAGGCCCAAGCTGCCTCCTTCTGGATGGAGGACTTGGGGTGCATCAGGAGCTGGGGCAGCACGTTCAGCATGCCCGCATCGATGGCCACCTGGGTCTGGTGATCTGTTCCCGTGACGATGTTCCCCATGGTGCGGAGGGAGGGGGTCTGGAAGAACAAGGCTATAAGTATAACCAAGCGTTGCAAATTTCTGGGAACAGAAGGGGACAATCACGCCAGGCTCAGCGCGTTCCCAAGTATTCCTCATGCTAGATTCATGGCGCTCTGGAAACCCAGGAATAACGATTAAATTCTTGATCCCTGTTAATTCAGCACATCCATGGCCATTTGCATAATTTAAAGGTACTTGCTAGCCTCTCAATAGTTCCAGCTCACGTGAGATAGAGGTCAAGGGATGCCTTTATTAAGAAATAATGCTGCCCCTTTTCGTATCCTTATGGTGGGAAAAAAAAAATTCGCTAAACTGATTACAGGGTTTATAATGTGATAACTTCTACAGAGTTTGTCTTTAGCACCAGTGTCAAGTTTCGGTTGTATATTTAATTGGAGCTAATGAGATCCCAATGGCTTTTTTTTTTAATGTATTCACAAACTCCCTCTCAACTCCAAAGGTCCCCAGGATGAGTCTGCAATTGGGCTCAAGACACCCATCCCCTGAGGGCTGACTGTGCATTGTTTTTGGTTCGCGTGCACCATAGTGGCTGCCCCCATGCAGATGGTTCTAGAGTTTTCCTAGCCTTTTATGCTGGGTATCTGCTATTTCAGCGAGAGCTGAAGTAGTGCTACAGGCCAATCACAGCCTCAGCAGGACAGCTCCAAATGAGTTCTATACCCCCCAGGACAAGCAGCTTCTTATAGATATTCTTATACCCTCCTTCTCCCCTATACTATCCTCAGACTAACCTTGACATCCAAGGAATACTATGCAAATCTAGGCATAGATGATCACTAAGGCTGCATAAATATGCAACGTTAGCCACAGAAATCAAAAGGGCCACTCACATTTCAAGGCCTATCTTCAAGAAGCGTATTATGTAAGGGACACGTTTCATATCATAGCAAAGTACTTGATGTTGGTTTCCTTGTTTCATTTTACCTATACTGAAGTAGACTAATAAACTGGGGAAAGGATAAGAGGGAATTTTTTTTTAATACTTGAGTAAGAAATTCAAATGTTACAATGAGCTTTATGTTAATACACATGTGTGTGCACATGCGTGCGCACACACACACACACACAACACACCGTATTAGCCAACTTGTTAACATCCATATGCACAGACCCCTAGAAGGAAAGACCACAAAAGAATAGTTTACTGGGTAGAGGGATTATTTTAATTTGGTGCCTGTCTAGATTTGCTAGTTATCAGATTAAGACAGAGTAAGTTATTTAACATCCACTAGGACATTGGGTCAAAACAGATTCAAGTCTTTGGCTAGAGAGTAGCAGAGACCTGGGAAATGTAGACAACAAGCTTTGTTCTAAAGTATGAGACCCGACTGTGGAAGACCAGGGCTGGGAGAGGCCCTGGTTCAAGGAGTATGACTCACACAATCTCCTGTGAAGGCCCAGACAGAGACAGACAGGACTGAGGACATTTACCAAGACATTGAGCTCTGAGCTGCTCATGAGCTGGACCAGCCTGGGCAGGACCCCTGTGTTGACCACTTGGCTGATGCGCTCGTTGGAGCCATCAGTGAGGTAGGACAGGGCCCAGCAGGTGTCCGAGAGAACTTCGCTGTCTTGGTGCTGCAGGAGGTGGGACAGGACAGGCAACATCTGCTTCACGGCTTTCACGGAAGGGTAAGGGTTCTTGTTTCGGCACAAGTTGGACAAGGTCCACGTGATGTTCCGCAGAAATGTGATCTGTAACAAGGAGACCGCTTCCAGCATCGGGTGCAAAGGAGGAAAAATGCCAGTGGCTTATGTCCTTGCCATCCCTGATCAATACTATCGACCAGCATGAAGCAAAGCGTTTGAGCTTCATGCAGAATCTGTTCTCGATAGAGATGCATGCTAGGAAGACCGAGAATGAGGTTTAAGTTTCATACTCAAATGTTAGGTGGAGGTTTCCTTGTATTCTTCAAAAAAGTTCCTCCCTGCCTTGACTCAACTGATGACCTAATTCATTTCTCATTGACGAAACAAAGATGAAACAGAAGTTACTTGGTCTGCCCATTGGTCAGTCACTCTACTGACATGTGGTAACCACATTCCTGATCTCTGTTGCAGGGTCAGTCCTCCCACCCCGCATCTGGATCCCACTTTTGCCCTTGAAGATTATATCCCCATGATCACTTCTCTCCCACCCCTCATCTGGATCCCACTTTTGCCCTTGAAGATTATATCCCCATGATCACTTCTCTCCCACCCCTC